TCGTCTGCGGGGCCCAGGTACCAAGAGCTCCTGAAGCTGCGAAGCTGCCCGGGTAATTGCCGGCGGGCGCTTCCGGTGGAGGCAGTGCCTCTGTTGCCTGTGGGGCTGGGAAGACGCACTCGCCTCCAGGTTCCCTCGCCACACCACTGTGGGATCTGAGCACTGGTCTGGGGCCTCCATTCTATATTCATCTAAATTGCGGAGACTTAATTTCACCGGGGTCGCAAAGGAAACGACAGAGTAACAGGCATTCACTGAGATCACGCACCTTGACCGAGCCCCCAGCCCACCCTGGCTCAGGGGTTTCCTTCCTTCTCTAGTCACAGGGATGAACACTTGACTAGAGTTCCTAAGCTGAAGCCGAGCAGCCAGGTTTACTTTCGTGGCTTCACTAGGCGCTGATGAGAAACAGTAAAGCCCCAGCAGGGCGGCAGCCCTTCCAGGGGCCCAGCTGAGACGCAGTGCGCTGGGGCGGCCTAACAGGACTCTGTCCACATCACGTGCTTACCGTCAGTCCGCGGCCCTTCGCAGGACGGCCCTCCTCCTCGCTCCTCGGTGGCTTCCCCTGCAGGCCTGCCCCCTCACTTCCACTCCCGGAAGAGCATCAGCAAACTCACGTGGCGCTGCCGCCACTTCGCACCAGGAAGCGCAGCCTCCACACACACGTTACCGAGCACGCTCACCAGATGGGAGCTGTACCTTTTCTCCAGGAAGGCAGCAGCAAGCATCCGAACCCATCGCCAACACGACATGTAAACTCACACGCATTTTCAGCTTGACACCCTTCATGAGCCAGCATAGTGAGCATCAGTGTTTATCCCTGTATTGTTACCCCTTGTAACAGCTACAGTAATGCAGGCTTGAGGCTCTTCAAACGGTCATTAAACACAGTCTCACCGCAACCTGCGATTCTGACACACTCGGTATATAAACGTATTTCCCCGATACTTCAGAGCTCTAGATCCAGAATGGGCTGATGGAAACGGCAGGCGGCAGGAGGAGTGAAAACCTAGCAGCTGATGATGGTGTGTGTGCATGTACGTTCAGGACCATGGCTTACTTGAGGCGGTTACCTTTCGTTAGTTTATAAAAGAAACTTTAAGGCCAGTGAGTCCTCTTACCGGACTGTACTATGAGGCGTCTGAGGCCCAGGGGGTGGAGCAGGTTTCTGGTGTGACTAGAGCAGAGCCAGGGAGCCCTGTCTCCTGAGTCCCAGGTCTAGATTTCAGCCCACGTAACGTTCCCCCAAAGATCCCCAAGTTTGGCCTAAGCTGGCTGTCAGCGAATCCAATGGCAACGCCGGTGAGTTGGTTCCTGTGCACTCCGTGATGGAGTGGTTGCTAATGGGGCCGAACCGTGCCCCACCCCGAGTCTATGTTGCAGTCCTAGCCCCAGGACCTCGGGTTGTGACTGTGTTTGGAGGGAGGATCTCTAAAGCGCTAATTAAGGTAAAACGGGGTACGTGAATGAATGGGCCCTGATTCAGAAGGGCTGACGGGGACACAGACGGCACCCTGCCAAGAGGGCCAGACACGTGAGGACACAGCAGGAAGGCGGCGTCTGCGAGCCTCGGAGAGGTCGCAGAAGAAACCAGGCCTGGAGACACCATGATTTTGGGCTTCCAGCCTCCAGAACTGAAAGAAAATAAATTTCCACTTTTTAAGCCACCCAATCTGTTTTTTTCGTTTTTCTTTGGCAGCCCTAGCAAATACAGTGGTCCAGACCGAAGGAAAATGTGGAATTCACATTTTATTTTTCTCTACGATAGAGACACTGTTATAAACTAGGGCTCGCTTACCCTAAGGATAAAGTGGCGTCTCAGGGAGCCGAGAGGAATGCAGCCTCAGAAGCGCGCTGGACCCAGGGCCCGGAGCACTGCCGAGGCTGCTTTCGTGTCCGCTTTTCATTGTGTCTTCTTCCTCTTCCTCTTCCTCTTGGAATCTCCCTCTCCTTCTTTCTTAAATCCACCCTGACTCCAGATTCCTGGGGAAGAGACTGGCCCAGCCTGAGTGAGGGACTCACCCCTGGTCGAACATCACGGCCAGAGGCGGCAGGACCCCACGGCGGACAGTGGCCTCGGCCCTGCAGAGGCGGAGGCGGCACTTCCACCAGACAGCGGAGTAAGTCCTCCGTAGCACGGAGTCTGTGCCCTCTTGAGGGCAGCAGGGAGGCAAACACACGATGTTCAGTGTGCTACAAGCAGAGCGGCCGACGCAGGGATAGTCTGGCTACAAAAGCAAAATGAACCAAGAGCAGCCTGAGACCTCATTCAGACCGAGAACTGCTTGCAACTTCATGGCCGTTTCTCCACTGAGGATGACAGAGAAGGAAGAGATGCCAAGAACGTTGCTTAGCACCAGTCAAAGCATGTGGACCCAACAGCTGGAAAAGCTGACCGGTGATCAAACGGAATTCCAGTATACAAATGGTGCAGAATGTTCACAATCTCCAAAAAAAAAAAAAGCAATGAAACCTAACGTGAATCCAGACTGGTCTCTGGTTTTATATGCATCTGGGAGCCTGCATCATACTCCCTGAGAGGAAGGGGAGGTAGTGGGAAGATTATGTAACGTTTAATTGTTGTTCTGGAGAAGAGGGGAGGGTGGAAAATACAGGAAGAACAAACTTTCAAATAAACCCGAATCAGAAAACATCCTGAGTTAGCACAGGGCAGGGCGTCCTCACAGCTGCCCGGCATCCCGCTTCTGCTCCTGTTACCCCTTCTTCTTCACCCGGCACCCCGGCCTGGAGCTGCTGCTGACGCTCCGCCTCCTCCGTGACGCCTGCCCTGGCTGAGCCCACCTGGCACTGTGTTTCTCTGACACTGTCTCATGGGCGCTGTGTTCCCCCTGCAGACCACACCTCCTCAGGGTTAAGGCCCATGCGATGTCCCCACGTCACCCTGAAGGGCTTGCTCTGGCTTTCATGAGCATTTGCTACCTGACTAGCTGCCCCCAGCTGAACGGAAACCGATGGTCAGAAACCTGCTTGCTGGGCTCAAGTAATCTTAGCGTAATCCGAGAAGAAAGAGAGACATCCAGGTATACTCCTTTTAAGATAAAAACTTTATTTTACAGTTTTATAAAGCAGCTTTACATTAAGCACAAACAATCCATTTACTTTGTATAGAAACAAAATACCTTTCCATCTGCAAAAAATCAAGTTTTGCTGTATATAAAACTAACATGTGCACATTGTGCTTCAACTGCAAAGTCTGTACAGCCTTACAGAGGACCGCCCTTCAGAAGGGCACCCAGTAAACACGTTATTGCATATTTCACACATGGTGTATACCCCACATGTACCACGAGGAGAAACCAGGAAGACAGTCACGAGGAGGGTGAGGGCAGCAGCTCTCAGGGGAAGTTCGCACCCGACAAAGGACAGGCTGGCGCCTGGGAGCTGTGCTTGGGCGCCACTCCGTGTCTGCTCGCGCACGCTGGACGGTTTTTGGATTCAGCCTTTATGTACAACTCCGAAAGGGTCAGACTCGACCTTCATCTGGAAACTTTTGGCTGGTCTTATAACTGAAGTGGCAATAGATTTAATTTAACATCAAAGCTAACTCAAGATAAGTGTAAACAACTGAGGCCCATAATCCAGAAACAAAGAAAATTAAAAAAGAAAACAAAACTTGAAAATACCTTCCCCATCCTAAGCTCAGCGTAAGTAAACATTCTGCATCACTGAAAACCCTAGAAACCCCTCAGATGTTTAGGAACAAAACCGTGACGGGTGGTGCCGGGCAGTCTCTCTCCACGCGCGTCCCCAGGCCACCTGCATCAGAACTGCCCGCGAGCTTGTCAGAAGCGCAGGTCGCCGTGCTTCACAGGCAGGCTTCCTGCACATCTGGAATCCGTATTTCAATAAGCTCCCAGGGGATCCTGAGGCGTCTGAGCCTGAGGACCACTGGTCTGCACTGACAGTTGTGCTACAGGTGCAACTTGCCCTCTCGGACAATTCTGGGATCACAGGAAAAATCAAGTTGCTGTTGCAACATGGAAGGCAGTGTGGAGCCAATAGCCATGAAACAGTAATGCCATTTCCAGACCAAAATGTCTTTCCTTTTTCAGCGGAAAAAGACAGCCGCATTTTTAAGGCACTGATATTTGTCACAGAAGCAGTACCATACTGTTTCCACGGACTCCCTCAATCTGCAGAACCAGCACGAAAATGCAAGGCAGAAGCCTGGATGCTCTAAACCATAACTAAGACGACGAAGTAGAAAGGGTTTCCGGATTGGAGGAAGTTTGCTTTTGAGCACGGAAATCAGAGGAGTCCAGACAGCCCCGCTGAGACGTGTGTGTGTGAGAACCACAAAGGCCGGCAGCTGGGGCCCTCACAACCCGCAGCTGTTCCGCTGTGGGCAAAACCAACCTGCGGGCACACAGACGGAGGGGGTTCATGCTCTTCCACGGCCAGCCGGGTCCTGCCTCCAGCTGCGGATCTCCGCTACTGCCCCTCTGCCGCTGCCACCCGTCTGCACATGTTTCGCTCATTTACATGTATTTTCCAGATTCTAAGTGGTGTCGGCAGGCTGCGCTCAGTCAGGACGCCGGGTGCGGGCGGGTGCCACCTGGCTCCTGACACACGTCACACCAGCTACACACTGCGTGTCAGGCTCAGCGCCCTGAACGCAGGGGCCCATGTCCCGATCTGTGGGAGTCGCTGTCCTGACTCAGTGCATGTCATGCCCTGAAACGAAGACACCAAAATCCACCTCCTCTGGGTCTGACTATCGCCCGAAGTCCCACACAGACACCGCCCAGGGTGTGAGGGCCACGACACCGACTGACGTGAGGTATGGCAGAGCAAGAAACCGAAATAAAGGTCTGGTTACACACATACAGCAAATGAAGCAGCATCACTTCAGTCCAAAAGCTGAAATAATTTATAGGTAAAAGCGCAAAGGGAAACACGGAAGCACAGAAGCCGCCAGTCGGGAAAGCTGCTGAGCAAGAATGATCCAAGGAGGGAAAAGTCCTGTGGGACTCTTGTCATACCTGACCTGGTATTTTTCTTTAAAGGGGAAAAAAAATCCTAAAAAGGCAGCGGTAGTGGATTTATCAAAATTACTAGCTCCTCCCCAAATTCAGGTTTATAATAAAGTTTCCCAAATATCCCTCCCCTCAAATAGACAAAACCCTTTTGAGAGTATATAGTCTGAAATGAAATATAAAATTCTAGACAGGGACAAAAATGAACCACCACAACGCGGGTGGAGGAGGGACAGACTGATTATCAGTCCTTCACTGATTGTAGATCGGGTTTCGTACGACAGACAATGTTTCTGTAATTTCTTGTGCAGTCAGCAAGTTTCATTTTAGTTGTGCTTACATTGTATAACTGTGAAGCCTGAACACTGGTTGTATCTTTCATTTACACATTTCAAGAAAAACCATCAATTCAAAAACTTCTCCAAATATGTAACAAACAAATGCCAACAAATGCTCATCAACTCCCAAGAAACTGATGTGCAGAAAAGAAACAGCGCTTTTCAAGCTGCACACAGCCCACTGTTCAGGCTACGGCACATATTACTGCATTACAGCACATTAGTGTTTGGAAGTCTGCTGGCAACACAAACACCCACGTTTTAAAAGAGCCCCACACTGGGTTTTGAGGCCAGTGCTGGCCAGCTGGCCAGGAAGAGATACTCACGGCTTTCCTTCCCAAAGCGAGAGGAGGGCTCTCTGGGGACTACACAGGGTGACAGGCAAGGCCGAGTGAGACGTCTTCGTTCAGCCCACTGACTGAACACCTCTCTGCTCTGAATGCCACCTATATTTCTAAACACCCAACCCGTGGAATGCAATGATCTCAGAGGACCGGTTTTAAGGACCATTTGTCATTTGATGTGACCCACAAAAACCTAGTATACAGCTGTTTAAAGTGTGCCTGTGCTCTGCTGACACGGGGCTGTGGTTGCTACGCACAGCAAAGGCTGAAGGATGATTTTGGTTCTGAGCTCTAGTTGTGCTTTGCCCGGCTGCCTTTAAGGTAGCTTTTCCACCTCTTGACAAATTCTTTGAAGACGGGGGCCTCGTCGATGGTGCTGAGCAGCTGCAGCTGGTTGATGTGGGTGGTGTGGTAGTCCCAGCGGGCCAGGTTGGGGGCGCTGCCGAGCATGAAGTGCCGGAGGTCGTAGATGGTCCCTGAGCCGGTGTCGTACAGGGGGAGCATGGCTTTGAGGGACGCCATGCCGCGCTCATACAAGGACCTCGCCTCCTTCCCGAGCTTCTCCCCTGCGGTTTCTTTAAGGTCGTACAGTCCGATTAAAGAGTACATAAAGCCGTTTAAGACGAAGGAGCTGGGCGTGGTCGGATACTCCTCGTACCAGTCGTGTCTGTTCATGAACACAGCTTTAACTCCATGCTGCTCTGACGGGAACTTGTAAGGGGCCGTTGCCCTTAAAGCTGAACTGAGGAACACGTGGTCTCTGGTTAAGAGATAGGCCCTGACTAAGGTAGAGATGGCCTGCCCTTGGGCCATAGCAGAGTACCACCCGGGCTCTAAAGACTTGAACCCTTCCCCTAACTTACGCGTCACCATGATCGGCCAGCCCCCTTTCTCATCCTGGTTCCTTACCAGCCAATCACTGGCAGCGAAGAATGCAGCCATGTGGGCTGTGGTGGAGATAGTAATGTTGTCAAGGAACCCTTTCCCTTTTGCAATCAACCTAACCACCTTCTTGGGCATTATTTTGGTTGGCTTGACAGCTTTTGTGTTGGAAAGACCCACTCCCTTCCTGAGGTCAGTGACCAGGTCCCTGGTCACCGTGCTCCATGAAGTTCTGGGCCCGATGCCATAGTATATGTCTCTTCCTTTAAAAGCAATTAGCTGGGTGTTTGAGACATAATGTACAGTAAAGAGCTGGTTCTTTTCTGTGGTTTCCAAAACCACAGACACACTTCCATTTGTCAAGAACTTGAGGTCAAATGAAATAATAAAATCTTTTGTGTTCCCCAGTTGCAAGGACACACCATCACTGGTTTCTGCAGGGGGAAAACAGACCAAAAAAGACTGGTGAGAATAAAAGCTCTTCGTATTTAAAAGCTATTTGCAATTCATCCGTGACAACCACTGACCATACAAAATTAACAGCACAATATTTTACGTCTCAGATTACTATTTTTTAACCTTAATTTTTACTAAATTAACCATAAACAAATGACAAAATTATTGAGTCCATGATGGCTTGTGAGCATCAGGTCAAAGCTCTTGTCTTCTGGCCTGTCTGGTCTCTATCAGAGGGGTTAATGGCCTTAGCAGCCAGCAAGGCACTGTGACCAAGCTGCCTTTTCTAGATCAAATACTGGCTGCTCAGTAATGGTGCCTGTCCTAGCACACCTGTTCTGCAGAAAGGGAAGACCAGCCAGAAGCCGGCTCAGCACATAATACTGCAAGAAAGAGGCCAGAAGGAAAGAATGGATATACATGAATTTAAAATGCTTACTTAGTGAGTACTTCCTGCGTCCTAAGTGCCTCGCACATGCTAACTCATTTAACCACCAGGACAGTGACAAGAGCGGTGCTGGCGCTGCTCTTACTTTACGGACGAGACGGAGAACTTAAGCAACCTGACTGAGGCACAAGGAGTTGAACCCAGGTTGTCTGGTCTGGCGGCTTCGTAACACACGCTCTCAATCAGCAATTCATGTTGAAAATGATAGGTTTGTTTTCAGATACTTGCTGGAATTGTGAATAACATTTCTGGAAACTAAGCAAGGGTCTCACGTAGTCAACAGAAGTGAGGAAGGCCGGGGGAGGGGAGGGAAGCGCACAGGGCCTGGAGCAAAACAAGCAACTCTCACTTCTCACTCTGCACATCCAGCCCCGGGATGTTCAACCAGACACACCTCCTGGAGCCTCAGTTTCTTCACCCATCAAGTGCAGGTGATATTACTTGGCAAGGTAATTGCAGGATTCAAAAAAAGGACAGTGGCTTGGAACACAATAGAAATGATGGCGACGGGGGAAGGGCGCAGGCAGCGGTGGAGCACACACTGAGCATGCACCAGGCCCTGGGTCCCATTAAAAATAAGCAAACAAACCTCCTTACTCCCTGCCCCCAGTGACGATGATGCTGCTGATTCTGAAGGCAATGGTTTCAGAGGCTGATAAAACAGTAAAAGCTGTTTTATTTGCCAAATTATCAAAGAGGAAATTTCTCTTGCATGTCCACAACACAGGGACGGCTGACTCTCAGGAAGCTGATTTCCACCAAGAAAAGAAACTGAGAATATTAAAACCAAGCAGCAGCAGCAGCAGGAAGAGGAGCAGGAAGGACAGCAGGACCGCGTGGAGGATGCGCCCACAGCATCAGAGGTGAGTGTGGGCGTCTCGGTCTGTACAGAGCTTACATTTCCAAACACATGCACGTGAACTACGTCATTTGATCCTTACAATCATCTCCGGGGGCTGAGAGGGCAGGAATCACTACTTCCAGCCTGGAGATGAAGGCACAGAGGCTCTCCAAGGGTAAACAGTTTGCCC